ACCGGTGAAACTAATCACATAGCTAAAAGTGCGACACTTCTAAGAATGTTAAACATTTTTATTTCTTCTGAAAGAAGCTTGAAAAGCTAAACTTGTTGTTCAGCTACCCTCTACCAGGGCGACAGATTGATTTTTCACAGATATTAACAAATATGTCTCTAGATAAATAGATAGTCAATCTGATCTGATGTCACCTCAGCAAAAAATGTCCCCAAGAACTGCAGCCTTGGTAGAGGGTATTGTTCAGCAGCTCCACGCGTTTAGGAATTCCACACCTATAGCAGATCCATGTGTTTAGCAGCCTCACGCGCTTAGCAGGGGAAGTGCTTAGCCAATGTGCTTAGCTTGTGATAGACTTATTTTAGATCCATATACCGGTGAAGCTAAGCACATAGCTAAACGTGTAACACTGCCAACGTGTCTAGCATTTTCTTCTGTGAAACGCTTGAAAAGCTATACGTGCTTAGCTTTTACACATATTTCTCAATGCGTATAGGTGCTTAACGTATGTTGTATGTATTTAAATGCTAAGCACTGTTTTTACAGTGTACGCTTGGACACACACAAACATATATAGTCAACATTCGTAATAACTTTTAGCTTATTTGTTTATAGAATTTACGAAATATCTTTAGAATACCATTTAATACGCAGTTAAATTGTGTGATTTACAAAACACATAAGTATTTTATTATTTATATATTAGTGTCAAATTTACATAAGTTCATTCATTTCTTTATATCAACAAAGCTGTATTTGAAATAATGATATCCTAAAAACTTTATTTTTGTTTGTAAATGTCAAATATATTTTGGAGTGCACTTTTGTAACACGAGGAAAGTGATAACACCCTTTTAAAGAATTACACGTAATGTAAACACCTTTATTCTTTTTATTATTTTTAGAATTACAGGTTGTTTGAGAAACCAGGATCATATTTAAAAAAGGCATTTTGAGTCTTTACAGTTGTAATTTCAATTCGTGTTCCTGTATTTGGACACTGATCCGGACTTCGGCCACATTCCAAAACGACTTATGGCCCTAATCAAAGTCTTTATCCACAAGTTCATTACCTGAAATTGATCGAAACATGTTCATTAAAATTCATTACATCATTTTTCTTCTCTATCATTTTCAATCTAAAAAATTGCGTTCTTACATGTAATAATAATAATAATAATAATAATAATAATAATAATAAAACTAATAATAATAATAATAATAATAATAATAATAATAATAATAATAATTGTTATTATTATTCTTATTATTATTATAAAATACTGGAGCAAAGAATATCAGGGGAATAATAAAGCACTGGACTAAACTAAAAAAACATAACTGTGACTCTTCACGTAAGTTGGTACAAGTACTACAACGTACTATGTTTAAAAGCGGAAAATTATACTGACAGTCAATGGAAACGCATCATTAATTTATCAAATAATATTTTAAGTTCCTTTGGAACATTAGGTGGGGAATATGACCCATTATTCAGTCAAACAAGGTTACTCTCTTATGACCAAACAAATGCATTTGTACTCGTTTATATGGTTGGAATCGATTCTCGGTTAAAAAGTACAAGAAAGTTTTCTGATTCGTTTTCATTGACTGTCAGTATATATAGCGTCATCATCATCATCATCATCGTTAGTCCTAATAAACAGACGCTGAGTTTCAAACAAACATAAATGCAAAAGGTTATGCGAGTTATCGTTTACCACGGAGCTTTGTATAAATCAAAGAGATATACAAATTAAACTACCAGGGGTACAAGAAGTCATAAGAAAGTCCATCCCATGTAAAACATGAATGTAATACAGGTGGTCGGGCATCCTGAAAAGCTTTAGGTACTAGTTTTATACCGGGCGGGCGTTCGCTTGGAGAAATCTGGTAAACTGTCTCCAAGCGGTTGCAAGCTCGGTGTAACAGGGGCTCGAAACTTAGGTATCATAGCAAATGCACAAATCCAAATCACCCTCGCATTAAAAAGAGGCGAAAAAAAGACATACTTACAATCTCCCTTGTAGCAACGCCTTCTCTCCCTAAGGTTTCCAGGGCAGTCAAGGGCCGACCCACCCACACAATGCCGCACTCGCCACGTGGTCCCCTCACCGCACGTGACGCTACACCTCCCCCAATGGCTCCACTCCGTCCACGAGCCGGGCTGCGACCGGTCACATATAGCTAAGCAATTACGGACCTGGCACGGGTAATGGTTATCTGGGATTCTATGACCGTAGTGGTGGGGTACCAGATAACACGGGGGACACTCTACGGCACGAGAGCGCAGGTACCTTGTGCCTTGGTATTCGCATTGGTGGAACAAGCATCGGTTGGAACTGTCCCGCAGAAATTGCGGTATTAGCCGGTGAGGATCGCAAATCCCAACTGAAGTGATATTGCATTGGTATACGTACATGTACGACTTAGAAATGTCCTGGACAACTTATCCTGTAAAGATGGATATCTGAAAGATTTTACACGTACATGGATGGCTACTTTATGCCCCTATTTCACACAGACCACGAATCCCACGAATGGCCATGAATTGGCAAATTTCAAGATTCGTGGTTGAATCGTAATCAGTTCTTGATGTTCTTAACAGATTCGTAAATATTCGTAGTCAGTTCTTGCACTTCTTGACCAACAGGAATTAGTGGCAAAAACTTTGATGCCTCTATTTCACACAGATCACGAATCCCACGAATCGACAGGAATTGAAAATATCAGGATTCGTGGTTGAATCGTAATCAGTTCGTGAAGTTCTTAACAGATTCGTATATAATCGTAGTCAGTTCTTGCAATTCTTGATCAATCGGGAATTCGTGGCAAAAATTTTGAGCTGTTCCAAATTTTGGCCACGAGCTCCCGATTCCAAAAAATCGTAGTGAATTTCTGGACAATATTCGTGCGATTCCAGCCGAATCCCACGAATATTCGTTACACTATCGCACCTGTATCGTAAATGAATCGTAGAGCGTGTCGAATTAGACCAGAAAATTGGCAAAATCTCACGAATCCTCACGAATCCTGAAATTTGTCAATTCCTGGCGATTCTTGGGATTCGTGGTCTGTGTGAAATAGGGGCATTAACAGGGATCATTTATTTGTTATTTAAAACAAGCATAACGGAGACATTTGAAGTTTCGTAAATCCTGTAGTATTGTTCACACGATTCAAATGAATAATCAATGATATGCTAATACCAATTAAAAGTGCCTCCCCCCCCAATTTTATTGGTACAACAGTAGTATACATAGGAACATTATACCATGTGGAATTAAAATTACTCACCTGGTTCTCCTCTGACAAGTGCTAGTAATGCAATAAGGGAAAGTAAACAACGACAAAATTCCATTGCTTTGGAATCAGGGATTTCTCTTCACCGTCGTCAATGAGTTATCTATGCGGGACTTTGAAAGTAACACTTTTTATATGGATAACGTAATGTGTCCGGTTGCTATAAACATTAGGCTACATTAATGTTTCTGGTATCAGTTTTTATGTACCTAGGATCAAATGAACAATGAACCATTTGTTTGATTAAAGTAATAAAGGGACAAGGTCACGCTTCCAATTACAATTCAGCACGTTAAGTGTAGAAACGTTGTTTTGAATAGTAATTGTTCATCTTTGCATTTTTAAGCGTATTGCTATTTGATATTAATTATTTTATTAATCAAATATATTTTTGCATGGATTTTGTACAATACTCTGAACGCGCACACACACACACACTACCGGTATGTCATTTATTCTACTTGTGCGCAAATAACGATCATTACATTAAGACTGCGGGCAATCCATACAATAAAATCAAAACTTACATCATCTCAATAGATTGTAGAGCTTATTTCTGTCCCACAGAAAAATATACCGAGATAAGGGTGCCGAGAGAGATAAATTTACCCCCCCTCCTTTTCCTGATTCCAAATTTCTCATCCCTTAATTCCCCCATCCCCTGCCGATCCCGATAATTGGAAAGAAACTCAATTTTTGTGAAGAATCTTAATTTTTGTCCACAAACACTCTATGTGCACATCCAACATGTGGGCTGTAATTTTAGAACATTATTCTGGTCTTGCTCATTTCCGAGTAGAACATATCTAGGTGATAGGGTACTTTGATCGCGTAGGGACACGGTCGAGTGTTATTTCCGATTTCCGACTAAGATACGTACAATATACATTTTCCGCCCGAGTGGAGTCGGAAGGGTTGGTCGACTTCCACTAGAAATATTGTGAATTCATGTACATGTATTTCACTCACACATTTGTTTTTTTAACCAGGGTATTATATTAGTTTTACATGAATAGATATCCTTGGACAGGTCTGTGCCAGAATTTGTTGTTGCAAAGGACACCAGTAAGATGCGTTTTTAGTGCACCGCAATTATACTCCACTAACATATAATAGTTAATTATTCAGGTTTCAAAACCTAAATTCGTAATATCAGTGTGCCTGTACTCTGGGTTCCAGTTTTCTTAAAAGTCAAAATTGTTTACATTATACTTATTGTTTTCCGTCTGTCATTGTGAATGTTACAGGACTAACTTGGAATGCAAGGTCATACCCTCAGCAGAAACGAATCTCAGGGTTTGCGCCCATTGCATATATTGCAGTGTTTTTTCCGGTGAGTGAAATATCAGGAGCCTTTGCAGCTACTGGTAACACCATTAATAGTGTCCGGTGTAACAATTAACGCCTTTGAACATACTCAACACTGCAATTTGGGTGCTCACATTTATTACATATCGTTTGACACATTACACGTTAGCCTTTGAATCCATGCTGTCTTGGTGAACATGTCTGATTACGATTTTGTCGTACTCACAGGGCAAAGGTACCGCACCTCGTAGTCAAAACAGTGGGATGCATGTACTTCTGGCGAGGCCGTAGGAATCGCTACTGCCGCTAACACCCCAGGTGGCGCCTGCAACACACCAGGCGGCGCTGCAGCAAAGATGGTCCTGTTCCCTTCTGGAATGATTTTTGATGTTTTCGTAGGACGAACCGTATCGACAGCACGAGGGGCGGTAGGCGGCGTTGTCGGTTCTGTTCTGGGAGAAGACGGCAAGGGTGGCAACACTTGGTCTTTGTGTAAACAGCCTATCCCGCGTGGGTTAACACAGGGGATAGTTAGATTTTGTTTACCCTCGGTCCATGGCATTGCGTCACCGGAAAGGGGATGCGCAAACCGGCACTCGATTTTCACTGGGACCAGATTCTCACCACAGGGAGGCTTGAAACATAAAAGGGTTCTCTATTTATAAATATTTAATATTTTAATTTGATTACAGGCACAAATTAGAATACCAATGCGTATGCTTTGAACGGTCTTGGCTTCCTGCAACACCCCTCCCCCCAAAAAAAGTGACACTATGAAATTGGGGCAGGACGATTTCAAATTCAAAAACTAAAGGAAAAATTGAGCAGGAAGATCCCTTTTTCGAGATATCGAACCCGACATTATAGTAAGGTAATAATATTTTTATGCAATTCGCATAAGAATAACTGATGCAGTACTTGAAAATCTGTTTTCCTCACCGGTGATATATCTACCTCCCAGTCCCCTTCCCCAGTGGATGGCGAGTCGCTGTTGATCCAATCTGTCCACACAAAACCTAAATTGAATATATATTCAGTGAAACTTAAAACAGCAAAATGTTTTAACTGAGTATGGTACATGTATAAGATATGCCTGATATATACAAACCATATACAGGTTCGCTGATGAAAAAGACTTAAAACAAGTATGTAAACGTTGAGAATCGTGTTCAAATAATACCAAAGCCCAACACATGCTATTAAAATCTGCAAATAAAAGTATGATTGGTGTCTTGGACGTGTATATTCTACGTTAGGTGCCTTCAATATACAGCATTGGTCAAAAAGGTTGTCCCACCCCCATTTCCATGTACTTTTATTTACAAATGATCACCTCACAGCTGTCAACTGTTAGAAATAGTGCTTTTTATCACGGATACCGTGTCTAACATGATTAATTGTTAAAAAAAATACAAAATAGTGGTGAAAATATACATATTTTATACCATTTAGTAAAATTTATAAGAGGTACCCCCTCAAATCGACTGTTTCACTGTTACTTCTACAGATGTAAAGAAATGTCTATAAAATTGAAAAGGTGCCATCAAATGTCACCAAATTCATACACAATTAGCATTAGGGTGTGCTCGTGAAAGATCACGTGCCTAACAGCGTGTGCGTCTACCGCGTACTGCAATTATCTCCTGTAGACGGCGCGACAAGCCTTCAACATGGGTTACAATTCTGTTATGTGGGATATTGTCCCATTCATCTTAAAGAGCGTGGCGGAATTGGTCAAGATTATTTAGGAATTGGTTCTCCTCTGCAATGCACATTCCAATTTATGCCACAGGTGCTCAGTAGGATTAATATCAGGACTCAAAGACGGTTGTCCCATCCTCAGAGCCCTGTGTTTCTGCAACAAATCGTTTGCCAGACGAGAGCTGTGAGCAAGTGCGTCGTCACAATGAAGCCAGTAGAATCCCTGAAGTCACCTCTTGCAAATGGAGTGAGATTTCTGTTGAGAATGTTACATCAAAATGCCCCTGTTACGTTTTGTTCCAAAAGGAACAATGTACTAATACCATGGGCTTGGAATGTTCTCCAAATGCGGATTGATCTAACACCTCAGGCGATATTAGCCTGCACACACCCTTCCAAGAGGCATTTTTTAACATGTCTATGGACCCTCTTTGACCATCGATGGGATACAAGAAATAATTTGATTCTGCATCAAAATCAACTTCCTTCCAGTGATGGATTGCCAGGTTCAGGTGCCTATGGGATCACTGAACGTAGCATTCTCAGCTGATATCTCATTCCATCTTCAAGAACTGACTTTGGGGTTAACTTCAGGCTTTATCATGACTGCACACTTGCTCACACCTCTCGCCTGGAAACTGTTTGTTGAAGAAACATAATGCTCTAAGGATGAAACTACCGTCTTTGAGCCCTGATATCAAACTTACTTATCAACTGTGACATGTATTGGAGTGTGCAATGCAAAGGAGAACCAACCCCATAAAAACGTGGACCAACTCCCCCAACTTGTTTAAGAAGAATGGGACAATATCCCACAAAACAGAATTGTAACCCGCGTTGAAGGCTTGTCGCGCCGTCTACAGGAGATAATTGCAGTACGCGGTAGACGCACACGCTGTTAGGCACGTGATCTTTAATGAGCACACCCTAATGCTAATTGTGTGTGAATTTGGTGACATTTGATGGCGTCTTTTTAATTTTATAGTAATTTCTTTACATCTTTAGAAGTCACAGTGAAACAGTCGATTTAAGGGGGTACCTCTTATAAATTTTACTAAATGGTATAAAATATGTATATTTTCACCACTATTTTGTATTTTTTAAACCATTAATCATGTTAGACACGGTATACGTAATAAAAAACACTATTTCTAACAATTAACAGCTGTTAGGTGATCATTTGTAAATGAAAGTACATGGAAATGGGGGTGGGACAACCTTTTTGACCAATGCTGTATAGTCCTCAAAATAGATGAAGCATATTGTCCCATATACAGGTACATCAACACAAACCCTAAAGCCATCGGGCGATTTATTAACTATCACTCCGGCTGCAAGAGTTACATGTGCCCGGTATATGTATCACCTATAATTAACTGTGAATGCTGCATCTGCTTACCTTCACAGGGTGGCCCGGAACACTGCCGCTTCTCCACCTTGGACCCCTTACACCGGTGCCAGCGCGTGCACTCCCGAGTCCTCCACTGGACCCCCTCCCCGCACGTGGTAGAGCACTCTCCCCACCCACCCCACCGCGTCCACTGAGCAGGGATTCTTCGACATGTCTTTTTCCCGGTACGTTCTGTACATGGGTTCCGCCTTTGGTATTAAGAAGGAGACTCAATATAATTTCACAATGTCTCAAAGGCAAAATGATTTAGTTGTAGTTAAATGTCATTTAAATAACATAAGTTAATAAGTTGATCCTTTTTTGTGATAATTTGAACTTAATTACTCCACTTCAAATTCAGTAATCAGATAGACTCTAAAAAACCATCTCCTCTATAACAAATGTGCATTTATATAAAAAAAAATAATTTCTGTATTTAACTTAGCTACACGGTATGTTGCATTCTTGTTTAAAAACCCATTACAACTTTTACCCGTTATCTACAGTATTTCAACTTATACACGAAGCCTACCTGCCTAGTAACAGGTCCAGTTCCGGAATCCCCTCACCGTACCCGTCAGGAACCCTGGCCCCGGGCGGACAGCGCCGCATTGTGGGTCGAGTGAGACCGTACCAGTGGTTCGGACACTGATGGAAGATACAGATGTCTCGGTCGTCCTTCAGGAAGCGTCGACCAGCAACGCACGAACCAACTACGTGTAATTGATACACAGTGAATGAAATTTAAACATAAAATTGACTCTTCGTGATGTTAGGATATTCTTGTCAATCTGCCCAAGTGAAATAAATGTACTTTATTTACCCTCTCCTATTTTTCATATTCATATCTGTCAGGTTTTTCAGGGATAAAGATGGTCTGTCACCAGCAGACTCCTGCCAATAATTCAGACACTTTGAGACTGGAAAATTAATTCGAATTAGGTCAGTTTCACCTACATTCCAGCTACTGTCAATGAAAACAATTCGTTTACAAAGATTTGTCCGAGGTACATGATGATTCTAGTTATAAAAGTTATACTGTCCACTGTGACTATGCAGTGTATCATGATATTAATTGTCATGAAGTTGGTAACAGTTTGCAATAGTCTGACACACAGCGTTCTACTGGGTGATCAAGTTCTCGAGAAAAATGCTTGGAATCTTTTAAAAGTACTCCTAAAGCCCTACAATAGCCGTCAAATATAGCCCTCCCCAAGCATTTTCAAGCCCCCTATCCTGTATCTGAAACTGCCCAAGACTTGTTGGGCAATCTATAAACATGTACATGTATATGTATATTTTTAAATGTATTTATATATCTATATTTACCACTCATTCATTTACGTATGAATATTATAGAATGTTTTTTTCTGTCATAATGCAAATTAAACATTTCCTCTCCTTTAAGTACTCTTAATAGAGTCATAGTTGATGTTGTGGTGATATCGTGCTCTACCGTGAATACCAAATGGGCAGCAGAATGTAGTTCATTTCGAACATAAAGTTTTACTTGGCAATTTGTTGCTTGAGTGCCTTAAATGCCTCCCACAGGAAGACTTCACGATATGAAGTCGGTGCTCACTGTTACCTGGGGTAATTCAGTAGTAGCTCACTAGAGTGCGACCGCTTTATTCCTTAAGTATTAGCCATTTATCTTGTAATTTCCGAAACTGGCCCAAGATCCTTGTTGAGAATGTTCGACTTTGTTTGAAACAAATATGTTTTCCTTTGTTTTTTTTTCAGATCACATGTATCATGCACTAGCACTGAATATATGAAAATGTTTAAGACACGGACAATAAAGTATACTAAAATTCAGGATTATAACGTTATGCTTATGGAATGATATGTAGGAACGTGACTGCCTCTCATGAAACAATATCGAACAATTACTATTGATTGTGCAAAAGAAGTCTAAAAAAATTTTTTTTTAAATGAGATATATTACCAATCCCTACAACAAAAAACATGCCCCAAAGCCAGCAATTTCAGTTTAACCATGAAACCTTCGTGAACCTAGATCAATGTGTATCCAAAGCCGACCTTTTCTCGACAAAAAGAGCTGTCCCCCCCTCCCCGGGTACGGGCTTCATGCATGGGGACAATTTATCTGATCACTACGTAGATCAATCTAACTCAGTGGAGAACCTCCCTGAACTCAATCAGATTAACAAGCCTCCTCCTGGCGTTGAGTAAAATAAGAAAAGTTGGTGATTATACAAGAGGAGGCGTGATAATCTGTTAATCTGATTGCATTTATAATCAGTGAGAGTCCCGGATTCGCGGATTTGGATCGATCTTCGCAGAACAATAGTTTCAATGGAAATGAGCCCATTGCTTGTGATTCAAACTTACCTGGTTCCGACACGACCATAGAAAATATCACCGGAGTCAGCAAAATGCCTCCAATCACGTACATAGTTCGACTGTGGTAGAGATTTAATCCTAAGCCGCTATTTCCAATGTTTTCGAGCGCTTTTAGAATACCCCGACCTGACACGGGTCAAACGTCCTGACCAGCGCTCCGTGTTCCTCTAGATATCTGTATTGACCAGTTATCCCCAATTTTCCGTCCGAGGACAGGTATTCGTTTTTATCCATAGTATTATATATTTACCTGGGCCAGCAAGGTCATTTACATTTTAAATGGCCTCAAAGTACGCGTGGATACCACAGGTATGCGCTTAAATCTGTACGTGCCTTTAATTTCGCATTTGGTACCTTTGATTTTGTATTCACTCTTATTTTATTTTGTTGTGTTTGTTTAATGTTCATTTATAGTTTAATTAATTATAATTATAGTTTAATTAAGTACCTTAAGCAGTTCAGATACAGTGTGCTTACTCTAAGGCAGATATACAGTTGGGGTGGGGAAGAGGGATTGGCCTATCAAAGCTTACCAAGCACGCGCGAGAACACACACGAACGCCAGCGAGCGCACATACACATACACCAACACACACACACACGCGTATAAATACGTATAATATCTTGCAGCGCGAAACAATTTGATTTTGGTCACGTAATAGCAAATAAAAGTTTTCATTGCCGTAGGTTGACAATTTCATTTTACCTAACACCACTAAAAAAAACTTAAATGAAGCCATTGACTTGGCCTGACACGGTATAAGGCATAACTTTGATATATCTTCATTGCCTCTCTCTTTCTCTCGGTTGGTTTTATCTCGGATCCTAATGTTGTGTAAAGGTAATTGCTCCCAATTCAGCTTTGTATATGTATAAGTGCAGACATTTCCCCTCAATTTAAGGTGCACCCTATCCAAATTCCCTGACAAAATCACAGAGTATGAACCCATTTACGCGTTCCAATTTTTACAGTCAGAAGTGTCATTCATTGCAACTCTCACTGTGGGGCATTTAACTTATATGGAATGAATTCATGCAGCAGCACTGTCATATGTCTTACAAGAAATCCCGCAGTGTACCTAACGCACCCTGAGCTTCAGAGATAACTTGCCACTAACCTCTTCACTATAGACCTTTTTCATCTTTTGCGGAAATACGAAGTGCGCATGACAGGAACCGCGCGCCACAGGGGTCATAGTGGTCCTCTGCTGTTTCCAGCATGGCAATGCTAGGTGTAGATGATGTACAAGGTGCGCATATGAAAAGGTCTTATGAAGCGTGCATTGCTTTCTGTCAAACTAAAAAGGCGGCTGAAGCACAGAAATGCGTAAACTGTAGGCAAGAAACAGCTATTTGGACGGAGAATCAAGCAATTAAATATTTTCTTTCTCAGTTTAAATACGATGCGCTTTACAACTAGACTTCACCTAAGCGTCCGAGCCTTGGCTGTACTTTCAATAGTGATGACGAACTAAAGCTTCGGAGTTCTTTTAAATGCTTCCGATAATAAAGATATGCAAAAGAGACTCGTTATTTTTTATATATAAAATCAAAAAAGCCAGTAGACTCGTACGAGTGTGGACAGGTGCGCAGGCCTACTGTACGTCCTCACAATTTTGTACATGTATATATGCAAGCTGTGGCGATATCACCTCATGTACCGGCAGTGTCAATTCATTACGATTTTTCTGTCTTGTTTGAAGGATATCTTAAGAGATTTTTAAAGTGATAAAATGAAAAGATTTTCTGCATTGTTTGACTCGTAGCTACTGTGTATACAGGTAAAACTGACACGCAGATCGTTCGTCGGTGAACTGATTAAATCGTTTGGTACCTGATAAGGCATCAGGTGTTACTTGTTCAATTCTTCGGTAAGGCGGGCGGCCACAACTACGACCTTTCCTCTGTAATTAAATCTTTTTAAGTGTTAAATAGGTGAGACAGGAATTCTCGACTCTTTCCCAGACGACAATTAAAGTTTACCGTGTCTTACTCTAGTAGGCCTACATGTATATGTACAAAATTTACGACAGGTAAAAAATGTCAGCCTTTCGGTCTGACAAGTATGAAAATTTTGTCAAACTGAAATAAAAACAAAATTGTAGCAAGAGGCCAAATTATTTGATTTTTATATGTTTTCATGCGTATTTTCATCGTTTTCAATCACAGACAATTAAATCATTCAAATAAAGTGTTTCCCACACATTTCATACTTTTCAACTATCTAAGACAGTTAAATACAGTATACGTAGGCCTACTTTAATACTAAGCATATTTGTATTACTTTACAAATACGTTGTTGGATTATGTTTATTATCCATTTTGACTTTACCATACATGCAATTTGTACGTGTAGCTTACAGAAAGGCTTTTCTGCATTTTTTGTATTTTCCAATTCTCTTGTCATTGAGTTCAGAAATAAATAACTTTTTATTTCGCCGATAACGCGTTCAACAAGAGCCGATGTACTTTCTTCTTCGTATGTCTCTGTTGACCTTGATAATATGAGCCCCGTTTGTACAAATCAGTAATACGTATACGGGACTGAATACATAATAATAAAAATTTTATTAACGTCTCACGTTAAAAAAAAAATAGAACCCACCCTGCTAAGGGTTATTAGAGACTAAAACCTGTGATGGGCCTACAGTATTTAAAATGATCACTTATCAATAAAACACACACAAAAAGGATATTACATACAAAACTTTTCAAACCTTCTCTTTGTTG